GGGGAGAGATGATTTTCTCCAGTGGGAAGATTCACATTTCATATTAAACTCACTCATAGATGATCTAAGTTTCATTTTAATGCTACATTAATTGTCAGAAAGCAGCATGAATGGACAACATCCTCTTTTGCAGGTCTAGATCATTTAGAACCAAATGATGTAGTAATCCTGATTAAATTACCTTAATAAACCAGTAGAACGGCACATTACGAAGATACACCCACCCACATTATTTCTACTACTGCTAAAAAAAACCCAAAAACCCACCCAGTAAAAATACTGGGTTTTGGCATTCACATTTACTGGCCTGAAGCATCTTTTCAAGCAAAATGCAAAAGCAAAGCAGAAAAAGGTTACTGAAGGATAACAGAAGTCTTAATTGATGGTTTATTTTAGGTTAAAGAGTAGGTTTATCTTTACTACTGAAGGAAGAAAAAAAAAAAAATCACAAGGCAAATTACAGTTCAGATACAGTTAACAAACGTACAAAAATACACTTTCAGTTTCAAATGACAGACGTGTATGACCAGAAACTTCTGGGGGAGCACTTGAACTAGTTATGATTCAAATACAATCCAGTACCTATTAAACATTGTTCAAACTACCAGTTCTTGGAACACGGATATTCATATTGGAACTATTTTGCATTTAAATCACAAATCATGCTTTAGCAGGAAAAAAAAATTTGTTAACACACATTTTTATTCTTAAACACAGTTTAAGAATACCTCCAAAGCAGCATTTGATAAGCACGAAATAACATTCTCGAAAATTATCAAGGGGTCACAATACAATCTAACATATAAATCTCTGAAACACCGTGTTTGTAACAAACATACATTCCTTCTTCCCCAATTATATGACAGCTTATCATTTAAGACACTGATTCAGATGTCTGAAATTTTACATGACTCTCCTTAGAGCTGTACTCGCCAAATACAGTTCAACAGCTGAAGTTATCTTGTTACTGCAGTACTTAAGCACAAAAAGATTTATTTATATTAGACAATTGACTTCACTGATTAAGAGCTTACTATCATCAAATTTATTATGTAAGCTTTCATTTTAGATCATTATTCTTAAAGAGTTATTATTAAGGAGAACTTTCGTCTTATGTAGAATTAACTGTTTCTCTGGTAAGAAACCACATGTCCTCTCTTTAGCTTGGCATCACCAAGAATAGAGAAAAGCATATATTCATAGCAGGCAGAAACCCACAGACAGGCACATAATTTATGCAGGAGAATGAGATCTAATTTCAAATCCAGTTAGCTATGAAAAAAAAGACACAAATTCCAGTACGTTAACTACTTCCAAAATTAAAAGCGATACCTGTGTTGCACATTGCACGAAAAGCCCCGAGTAACAGGGGTTAGAAGCATGCATGTCACAGAAATTTGCAAGCTTCCCGTTATAGAGAAAACTTCCCACCAAACTACCTTTAACTGGGCAGAGGGTCACTTCCGTTTAACTGTGCCTAAGACAAGTCAAGCCCCTGCTCTGGGCTAGGAAGACATTCAGCTTCAGCAGAGGACCACGCACGAGCAGCATCGGGACACTCCACGGGGCCGGCAGCGTCCCCCTCCGCTCACCGCCAGCCCCAGCAAGGCCTCCCCGCACCCCTTCTCGCCTCAGCCGCGCATCAGCCTTTCAGCCATGAGCTGCCGCGCTGCGCGGCCAACGCGGACGCAACGTTAGATGTACGCGCCGAGAACAGTACTCACGGTCACTACAAGTTCGCCTTTCGGGGCGAACGAG